GGCGTGTTCAGATTTGATGTTTCTTTCAAAAAGACCCATGATAACATCACACAAAGTTTACAGTGGTATGCATATATGGATGTAACTTGACTGAAAGATACTTACGCATGGGCAGACAACTTACAAAAAGCAAAACACTGGGGGCACGTCAGGGTCGTGAGCGGTTTTCGTTAACGTGAGAGAGGGGGTTGTAATGGTAATACATCCTCGCTGATAAGATCAACGTTGTGCAACAGGGCATTTCAACTAAACGAAATCATTTAAACGTTCCACAAATTTGCATTTTTGTTTGAAGCATATAATGTAAGAGGAGTTGCCGATTATTGCTACTCGGCGAAGGGCGTTATGTTATCACGTTACATGTAATTTTCCATCCGCCACTAAAATACATTTGTACATACCATTGAATCACATATTTCAGTGATTGAATCAGACTTGGTGAGTTCATTGTAGATCATATGCTACATCTTATATAACTCAGTGGGATACACAGTGCACAGTTATAACCTTTAAAAAGGTAAACAATAGGTTAAAAGAACTGGTGCATAATTTAAAAAAAATTTTGTCTTATAAACTCACTGATAAACGCGTAACATTCCTGTAAGCCTGTCACCGTAATTAAAGTAATGTATATGTACGGCAACATACATGTACATGTGCAGACGTATGCCAGTATATGAGACACCTAAGGACCAATTGCCTTAGCATAATTTCCATTGTGGGCCCCTACGACACGTGCCTTTTGTAAAAAAAAGTTCGTAACAATAATCCTCAAACTTTTCAGAATACAACAACTGACTGGCCAAGGGTGGAAAATCCAGTCTCGAAAAGAAGTCCACTTGCGTCCATCACTGGAGTGACAGCAAGGGTGGCCCTATTCAAATAAGCGTTAATCAGAGCAATCATGTCTTTCGTGGTTCCTACTACAAGTGCCAAGTTGAAGTTTAAGAGAGTATGTCAGCGTAGGATTCATGTTGAAGCGGTCGTGCTATCATCCCATCGTGTAAAAATTAATGGTATAAAGACAGAGATAAGTTGCTAATGTGCGCCATTTAATGTCGATCTACATAAAAGTCGTATAAAATAATAGCCTGTTTTACTCTATATACTGTCCGGTGATATTCATATTGTTAAACAAAACCGGAGAACATCATTATTATAGTAATGACATGTCCCGCTTAGTGAAATATTTTATATAGACATTTTTGTATAATGATTTCTTAAATATAAAACTGTGTGAGCCTTATATTAGATTACTCAAATGAATTGAACTAACTGACGGTGGCATGCTTACGTCGGCTATTGTTGATCATCTTTCTCTGAATCTGAGATGGAGGTCTTAATTTACTATCTAGTTACATAAGTCAGTTTCACATAGCTTGAAAAATAATTACAATGTGAAATGAAATAACAAAAGAATTTTTTTATCACACACCAATGCTGACTTCAGAGTAAGAACGTTAATGTTAACCAGTGTCGTAAAGGTCGTTTCACTCCTGTGTCCTCGTACACCTTGATACATTAGTGTATAACACCGATTCATCATTGTTTTTGCTACAACAAGCTTGAGGTTAGAATCTTATAGAAGTCGTGGCGAGTATGGGCTTGGTTTTCCACATGCCACAAGAAAAAGAATATGAGGATGAAGATGAAGAAGATGAAATCTCCGATCCACAGACCTCACAATGGACCTGCTGGGCAGCGCCGAATGTAACAACACTTTTGAAAATGCAAAATGCGAACTAGTCATTCAAGCTTCCTTTCATTTGATATTTCACCTTTTACACACATTTTATATAGTTTACTGAGACTGCGCATAAATAAAACGACCATTCGGGCATTATTTTGTACTCCTTTCGTACTGATAGTTCTGCGTTACTAATGCAGATACTGTATGTTAAAATAAAATGCATTTGCTCGCACTTTATCTGCTCCCTATGTGGTAAATGAGATATGATAAACATATATTTCTTCATTGAACTACCTGTGTATATGCATAAATATATCTTTTTGATATCATTGTATGATGTAAAAAATAAGTGATGTTGCCAGCTGTAATGAAAAAAAGTATTGAGATGGGTGTTTCCAGTGAAAGTGAATACAGAACAATGAAGATATCGCTATTTTTCCTTTTAAGCACCAGAAGAATTTGTGTGAAAGATTCAAGACTACGAAAAAAAAAAAAAAAACGAAAATGAGAGAGATATCCATAAATTTGAACGCAAAAAGATGTTTTTTGTCACAGTCTGACGGATAAACTGACACTTTTGCGATGAGTTTTTCTGATAAATGAAGGCGTGACAAAAGAAGCGATAAAAAAACTCCAGTGTATTTAATGACGTTCTTTCACTTTTTAAAAAAATTACTTCAATAATAAAAGTCCCATTTTCTTCAGATGTTACATGTACGATGTTATTCTAAAAAAATACAGGACAGAAACAGGTGTACATACTTTTATTACCACAATGCATGATGCATGGCAACGTGGTACGGTATTTATCGTAAACATAGTATCCCACATTTTCTCCTGACCGCAGCAGTCTTAAAATCAACTGCTAACACCTAATTAAAAAGAACTTTGTTTTGATTCAGCTTACCTGTGCTTACACCATTCCGCCTTACAAGGCGTCCGAAGATCCATACTTCTTCTTCTTGCTCGCTGTTCATCATCATGTATGTATCTTCTCTTTAACCAAATTCTCGTCACCGTACTAACGCGGTTAAATCCTGTCAGCGGCTATTGTCCTAGTGTCCATTAAAATCCAACATTTGATACATGTATCATGCCTGTGTCATGTCTTCAGAGCAAATATATTCCGTATCGTTAAGAAAGTCCAGACGACAGAGGATTATCATTTTTTTACAACTGTTGGCGATGGCTGATTGTGTAGGTCGTCCAGCTTGTCGTGCCTATCAGTCACCTTTGATGTCGTCTGTTGATTACAGGTGTGTTCCTGCGTCCGTTAATTCAGTGCACTTTACCTGTGGGTTGGTTTCTGGAGGTTTCCGTGTCTCTTGACAACTTGCTCTTTATCAGTATTAATTTCAGTCCCTGTTCTTAACCGTCCTTATCGTGAGGACATTAAGAGTCACGTTGACCTAGAATGGAAAACAGAATTCTATGGGGGTGTTTTTCTGCTACTATTATTTCAGCCAGCCACTCTCGTTTGCCGTCTTATCGGGACTCGCATCTGAACAGGTAAAGAGGGCCATCTGTAATGTGCATTGGAGATGACATGAGACAATGTGGGCCTAGAACGCCAGGACTGAGATAATGTCAACTATCACGGAGACATGATGGATCGCAAGCATTCACAAACGTTGCGCCCTTGTTTCTCGTATGTTGCAGGTTGCTTTACATAATGTTATAACTTGGACGTATATGTGTTCACACAAGCAGGGGCCTGTCCCGAATGTTACCCGCTCAAGACGCCATGTCTGGACATTCAAAGGCATTTGATGCGACTCAAATTTACTTTTCCACATACATGTCACTTACAAACGTGCTACATTAAACTCAGCTGTCAACTTGGCCTCCGTTATTCATTTTGTACGTTCCTATCTGCTTGATGAAGTGCAATCAACTTAACGTTTGTCTTAGTCACACATTTGGTACGCTTCTCGTCCGTTCTAAAAGTCCACGTGTGAAGACAGGCAAAATGAATTCAGTTTAAATCGCGTGTCGCGCCGCATCGGACAACACAGCGCTACATTTTGCAACCAAACGTATTCTGCAAAGTGCGGTCGGTTGCATGACACGGCGATACTACTGGTAGCAGAGACGTGTTTTTGTAACTGCGCCGCATTTTAAAACCAGAGAAAAAGGCGAACATGCATTTTGCAGCCACAACGCTTTTTGCAATATTTTTTAATCACTGAAACGATATGAAGAACTATAGAGTGTATTGGGACTGCATGTGGAGGGGGAGGGGGAGGTGGGAATAGGGGACTCGTTTACCGGACTTGGATGCTCTCTCTGACATAGACATCCTTGAGAGAAAATACAGATGATTTCTTTGTTTTTTTCTGTATTTTGCAAAAAAAAAAAAAAAAAACCGGTTGTCAAACATTTTGAATTGTATTTAATCATGACTCAACATATGTCGACGTTTTTGTTTTGCAAATTACTCACTGACATCTGACATTTTTGCACAATGGCATTATGTCCCGAATAACCTTTATAACTGACAGTCACGTCTAATTAATGATGGTCTTAAATAGAACTATACAAGTAGGAGTGGCCATAACCTCTCCGACCAAAATAACCGGTTTCTTTCGATATAGGCCTATTACTCCTGGCTCTCGTTAAAATGTATAAATTTCTAGTTGGTGAAATTCTAATATGAGTTTTAGACACTAGGGATCAGCTTATGAAAGTTTAAACTATTATATTGGGGTAGGTCTTTGCCTGATAAATTGTCATTTTTAACAGTCTGAGGCTGGGTTCACATAAACCTCCGAGGGGATTCTCGTTAAACTGCATTCAGTTTAAGCGGCTTAAATGTCTGTCACGCCCTCTGAAGTTGCTAGGGGGTAATTAACTTTTGTGCAGCATCCGGAGCCGAGACTACATTTGTATAACATATTATTTCAGACCATAAAGAAGTATCAGTTTTCTTATATCATTCAAATTGCGTTACGCTTACGTCAATCGCTTAGACTATCACGATAGAATGTTTGTTAAACATTACGTTATATCATGTATATGCCAAATCCGGTCTTTTCCCATGTAAATAATCATCTAGTAGATCTTCGTGCACTAGTGCCTACCTCTGCATTATACACCCCATTACATGTCGATGTCGGTAGTTTTCTCCCGGTGGGACCAGGGTCAATCTAATGTTTAAATTAACTCTAATGTAACCCCATGAACATATCTATTATTATGTTAAGTGGCCTCCCATGTTTAATGACCACATTGTAGTGGGTGCCATTTCCACTCATAACGAAGGTCCCGGTAAATTGATATCCGCGAGTCAATAATCGGGGTGCATATTATGAGAACCTTAAGCCCGACACACACTGCAGTCATTGGCTGAGCTAACGGATTGGAGAGGTTTGATCCACCAGAGCGGTGTGCAAGACCTGAAACGCAAGATAGATGTAGCTTCCCCGCGCATCCGCTGAGGGGAAAAAAGTAAAAAGAAAATAATACACAAATAAAAAATGATCAGATGAAAGGTGAGGAGGTGTGAGTTGTCATCTCTCAACGTGATCACTAGTTTGCACCGTTGCTCAGCCACAGTGTGCGTCGCGCTTTAACACGCTCTCGCACCCTGCGTCTTCGGTAATACCCTGACTGCAGCAACAAGTGGGTTTTGTATGACACCGCTGAGGGTTGAAATCTTTAGACATCATGCAATAACAATGCATCCATATGGAAGGCGCCCTGTGTCAAATTAAGTTCCAATAAAGTCACAAAATGGGACGAGAATGTCCGCTCTTCCCGTCAACCATTTCATCGACTACAATAGCACCGTGGGTCACTTAACACCACACTGGACGCGCTGGACACAGAAAGACAGACTTAAAGCGAAAATACCCTATTATGGTGTAATATAGGTCTTTAATTCTTCTGGCTATAGAATGTCCGGCGTGTAATTTAATTTGATGCTCACCGGGGTGTCGGATACAATATTTATGTACCGAAGAAGATACTCCATGTAGTATTCTACACTCGACTGTACTCGAGGCGCCAGTCGTATTTCACTCATTTCTCATAGACCATATAAAAAGGAATCAAGATGAAGACAGGAAATCCTGAAATTAGGCATCATTCTGAAAACTTTCACCCGAATTGCCGCATCAAGTCTTATCTTTAACCCTCCCCAAAACCTCACCTCCAGTAATAGTTAAGTGTTGTCTATTTAGTACACAGTCTGGACATCCCCCAGGTCTGGAACAGCCGATGGCAATAATGGAAATTGATTGCAATCAAATTTAATTTGATTTCCCGAGTTTACGCCTTCAAGAACCGATTCTTCATCGAATCATCATTTGGCGCCACGAACCTTCTTTAAAAATTACCCCCATCCATCGAACACATTTTACAATAGTTTAGATGCTTACTGTTTTGGAATTTCGATCCGTACAAGCACACCTACACGGTCAAAAAATACAGAGAAGAGGTATTAAATTTGGACGTAAAACGCTTTATTACACAGAGTGTAAAAATGCACATTGTAGAGTAAAACTCTAATGACAACTGCTAAAGAGAAATTTAAAACGTAACTTTATGAGTGTTCAATTAACAGTCGGGGACCATCAGAACATGTTAAAAATTGAATTTTATCTAGAAGCCAACTGAAGGACACGGGAATTATTTCAGGAACAATTTAAATAATTTATAAAAAAATTATATGCTGACAAGTTGCATAATTATCTCCAAGCTTGATAATAATTACAAGCAAATACAACACAAGTGTGTTGATATCCCTTTTACCAATTTAAGTTTGTCATTGCACAGTATATTGAATAATTTCCCGTCAAATCAACATCGTTACAATTACGCACCTGACAATATAAGATGGATTCACTTTATAACTCCAAGACTGTTTATAATGACATACCTTTCCATTTTGATCTAAATTTTAAGTCTATACATTTTTCATCCATTCATCTTTTTCAAAGAATGCGTTTTTCGTTTTGAAAGCACCATATAATAATTTTCCAAGCTGGCACTTTATTAAGATATAACAAATAGATCTACCCTGTATCTTTAAACAATCGATCCTTATAATCTTGTTGATCTACGTCGCTTTTTGCACCTCTCCCCTATCCCTTCCCCCTCGTGAACAGAAATCAGTTGATCAAAGTCTATCGTCTCCAGGGTGGCTGTCCGTCTTCTCTTAGACGTCTTAGCTTTCCCTGAAGCAGTCTTAGGTGACTGTTGACTTAGCTGGGAACTTTGGTTAGTTATCTGAGAATCCTGAGATGAAGAATTGCTCTGTGGTTTCTCTGAAATTTGTTGAGATTTTAAGTCAATGTTAGGTACTGCTGAGTGTCCTTCACACGATTTTTTGTCTTCTTTCTCAAATTCATTTTGTTTACAGTCTTGGCCATCTTTGTCACATATGTCAGTATTGCAGTGACCAGTCTGAAGGTTCTTCTCACTTCCATCCTTTGGACCATTCTTTGGGGATCCTTGTGAAATTTGACTGTGGTCCTTATGTGACACTTCTGCTCCAACACCTTCATGGCTTGGAGTATTTTTCACCCAGCCTTCAAGGACCTCTTCATCTTTTTGGCAATTCTCATTCCTTTGTCTTTTCAAATTGTCAAATTCCTTTCTTTTCATGTTGGTAATTTCAGGGGCTGTATTTTCTTTCACTTTATTGTCATCAATGTTTATTTGCTCATTACTTGAGGTTCTTGAAATGAAAGGTAGATTTCTTGGACTACTGCTTCTAAGACCAGGGGCCCTAAACCCTCGCTTCAGAGCTGAGGGAACAGAAACAGGCAGTGGACACACTGGAGGGGGTTCTCCATACTGTTCCAACTTTCTTGCCTTCATGCGCTGAAGAGCTGTGCGGGGATCGTCTGCTTGCTCTTCCGAGCTTTCTTGCATGAGGGTATTTTTCATGTCAAGACTGAACCTTGAATTTGGTGTGGAAGAATCAGTTTTAGAATATGGTAACGTTTTTGGTACTGGAGATGGTCTCACTGGTGTAAATGTGGTTACAGGGGTCCTTGGTCTGGATGGGATCTGAAAAAAAAAAAGAGTATGGAACCATATACAAAATTCATGCTTTATGACATCTATAACTGCTATAACTTTGCTATCATTCATGTCAATCAGTTAAGACAAATTCACATGTCATACAAATTCTACATTAAAATATGGGCAAAATCTTTTATTCCCAGGGCTGCCCTCCACATACCTTGACCACAGAGTTTGAGCTTTTACTGGACACGGATATATCATCATTCTGCTGGACAGGCTGTCCAAATACAATGGTCCTCAACTTCTTCTCCATCTCATTTATAAACTGCTTTGGTGACTAAAATTGAAACATTATTTCAAAAAGTTTAATACATTTATTCCATGTCCACAGCATGTGATCAAGAAATCAACTTTTAGTGGCCTGCAATCAATTTCAGTGCCAAAGCAAAGATTACAAAGGTGGTTTTGCATAGCATCCATTACAATGACTAAGCACTGTGATTACAATATAAACATGGGGACAAAATATAATAGCGCTTGGCCCTTGTGAACAATGAAATGTATATAAAAGAAAACTTCCAACAACTGAACTTAGTGCAATTTTCTCAGATTGTGAAATTGCTATAATTTGAAACTATACAGTGCCAATCTAATGGCTCAAAATGCATATCAAAGACAATGGCACAGCACTATTAGCTTAAGCCTATGTTTTTAAGATCTTAATCAAGGTATAGGATGTTGTTCAGAAAATATCTTTAAAATGGCATTGTTTTAAAATAAATGTTGACTCACAGATATACCTGATAGAAGCTTTTCTACAGAACCTTCCATGGTGACTTTTTTTATTCTGTAAAGCTAAAAGCCTACACTCACAGATATAACAGATTGCAGCTTCTCTACAGAAATCTTCAAGTGTTCATCCTTAGGTCTGGTGGTGAAGTGGCACATCTCACTGGCAAAATAACAGGGGACACTGGACCTGCTCTCCCCCCTCCACTGCAGGTTAGTGACCACTACCAGAGTGCCCTTGGTCAACAGGTCATCCACGCCAAGAGCCTAGAAACATTTATATATTTAAAATCATCAATTTGGACATCACACTGTTACTACGATGCAACCTGTACTGGCTTTTATTCCTTCTTTTATAGTGTTTAAGGTTTACTGACAAATATATAATTCACAATGCTTGTCCAAATATAATAATCATTATTACATTGGCAGAAGTTGTAAAAACTGAAAATCATTGCATTAGATCATTATATTAAAAAAAAAACCCATCAAATTAAAGACTTAATATCCCGCAATTGGGCATAATCCAAAAAACGTTCACCCATGTTTTCA